TGTTGTATATTTGCTCTGTTTTTCAAACGTTTTATCATTTATTGCTAAATCACTTTCTTCCGTTTTCAGCTCTCAGTGTCAAAGTTTTGGATGAATAAAGCCTAGCTTTCAGGCCCTCCGTCTTTTCCATTGCCATTCTGATTGTCGTTGAACTCTGACCCTCGTCGTACACAACAACTAACTAAGGAAAACGGCCCCTATAAGAAAAGAATGCAAGTGGACCCAAAAGTAACTAAGTGCTAACCTATCACAATCATTCTGAGATGCTCATACGTCCAGGCACTCATTCACCTAACCTTGATAGGAAGTGGTGACAGGAACGTCACTGACATGGACTACCAGGTATATTTTGCGGCGTCTCCAACCAAACACAATAGGGATTACGCAGACCACATCCCAAAAGAGGCGTCGTACCGACAGTTTGCTACCATACCGCAATCTCCTTCACACCAATGTACGAACAAAAAACGACCGGTCGCCTGATTGAGATAATGCTCTATTCCGAAAATGATGGTAGGTCATGCGCACGACCACATCACTGCAGCATCTGGCACAGGATGCATTCTTCAATGAAAGTCCCCGTTGCACAACCGAAAACTCGTTTTCTAAGTGCCTCGTTACGGATTCTCAAACGCCAACCTAGACGAACTATGGTCCTGAGGCAATGATTGTCGAACACTTGGAGACGTCTCAGTTCCGCTGCTCGAACAGACCAGGTCTCACAACTATACAATAAAACAGTCCACACTGTAGCCTGATACACGTTCTTTGAATTAAGGGATGTACCGCCTTGACGCCATCGGTGTCTCAAATTAGCCAACGCGACACGAGCCTTGCAGGTTCGCGCATTGACCTCATCTGTCACGCTACACTCAGAACTAATACAACTTCCAAGATACACAAACCGCCCCACAACCTCGAGTGCCTCCCTTTGGATTGCAAGCGGCACGTTCAGTGACTGCATGTCCACGAGCATGACCCTACACTTCGTGGGTGTAAAGTGCTTGCGAAACGACGGGATACCTTTGGTCAATTCATCCAAAAACACGTGCGTTTTTCTCTTCTTCGAAGACGAGAACGATATCGCCTGCATATTCCTGAGACCGACAAGGTTTTCGTCAGAGGCTATTTGAACACCAGGGTTTCGAAGACCTTCCAGCGTTCGTCTCATTATTCCATCGATCACGAAATAAAATAAGAATGGAGAGTGTGAGCATCCTTGATGGACACAGCTTCGTGTACGGAAGCTTTTGGAGAGCTCTCTGCACACTGTCACATGTCCGGAAGTCTGAGAATACAAAAAACGTATTATGTTCACAAACTTCCGGGGCATTCCATGATGGTCAAGTGTGTCAAGGAGACAGACCGATCAACCGAGTCGAATGCACCATGGGAATCCAGGAATACTAAGATTGCGGGTCATTTGTACGTATGGTTGAGTCGAATATACCTTGGAAATCCAGGAATGCTAAGATTGCGGGTCATTTGTACGTATGGTGTCGTCCTATCACCTAATGGAGTGAGAAGCTTTAATCACCGCAATCCCTACCAGGTCGGAACCCCGCTTGCTGCTCTCAAGTCAGTGTTTCACGAGCCGCCATAAGCTGAAGAAGCAATAGTGACGCCAACAGTTTCATTACGACCGGGGTCAATGTGACCTTCCGCGATTACCGCACTACCACCGATTCTATCCAATTGTCTTGGAAAGTCTCTTTTTCCCGAATGCAGACAAACAGGTCAGACAAACGCTGACTAGGGACTCCAACTCCATTCTTGAACACTGCGGGTGGGAGGTCATCCGGACCGGGAGACACAAACGTCTCTCGTCCGGGTAAGAATAACCTAAAACCAACATACTAGACAGTGGTGTCATCAATAACAATGTCCATATATGAATGAATTGAACCCATATTCGAAAATAAAAAGATGAAACTGCAACTCACGTTGATTCCATCCGTTGAATTTGGACTTATGTCTGGCCTGTCCGTGATGTGGCATTGATGTAAAAGTTGACAAGTATATCCAAAAAGACAGATAATCAGGGTATGGTGAGATAAGAGCCAGACACCAAAAAGTATATCACGGTAAGGTTTTCAGCTGCGACACCAAAGACGGTACGATTACCAGAACCAAACCAGGTGACAGGGACCGTTCTGACGAAGTGCAGGAAACAGAGCTGTAATGAAGTGACAATTTTATTACAAGGTGTATACAACGATCATATCAAATAGGTGGCTAATACCGCTGTCACCAACCTTGAAATTGTTCTGACGAAATGCAGGAAACAGAGCTGTAATGAAATGACAATTTTATTATAAGGTGTATACAACGATCATATCAAATAAGGGGCTAATACCGCTGTCACCAACCTTGAAATCGGACACGAAAACCAGTATTCCATGGTGAGACAACTGCGTTAATTTATTTGAATAGCACGAAGAGACGGGACTGGATCTTACCGTGGTGTCATCATTATCATCATCGACAGCATGACATTAAGGTTCACCGACGCTTCGCTGCCGTACAACCATTATTGATTTGAAAGCCTTATAGTGAAGAAAAGAATAAAACTGGAAGCGGAAGGGTCGCAGTACCAGCTGAATACAATCATTCCGACGTACATACATTTCCGGACCCTCGTTCAGACATTTTGAGCAGAAGCTGACCACAAGATCGCCACTGAAATCGCTTAGCAGCCATATTTCGCAGCAAGGCAGTTCAAACATGAACTTACTGTGATGTGGCGGTTTGTGTGCCTCGGCGACCCAATGGGCTATACTGGGGGTTTTCCGCGCGACACCCACATTCTCTCATGCCACGTTGGTCAATGGTCTGAAAACACAGTCTCCTGGCCCTCCAGGTTGGGGGTTGGAACATGTGTGGAGACGTGTTCCGTAAAAATGGTAATGTGATTGCATTCCCAGGCCAACACTGCTGACTTGCGGTTAGGCTTTTGAGCCAAAAACTTTGGTTGAGGGTCCCTATCGTCCTCCTGTCTAAGTGTGGGTGCCCTGGTAGTATCCCACTCCTTGTGCTAACAACACTAATGCCACATCGGCCGTCGCGTGGTGCTATCAGCCGGGTCGCCTTACTTGCTGCGTACAGCAGGGTGGGTAAGCGAAAACGTGCTACTGCTAACGCCTCCCTTCTTGCACTTTCATGTTTTGCGCACTCCATCCTCTTCTGCCCAAATTTGAACGCTTTCTCTGCAGGTCCCAGCACCAAGACTGACCGTTTCGCTCACACATCACAGCCCCAAACACTTTGAAGTCAGTTTTCAAACCCCCAGAGTCTGTCTACTTAGCCGCCTTATATGTTCACACACTGAAGCAAGCAGGTCAACAGGTGGTTCTTGCTTGTACGCTCGATCCCCTATGAATTGATGTATGTTGTCCGTCAGAAACAAGGATGCAGGACGCAAGTAATGTGATCGAACTGACTGCCTTTCACGAATATTCTTTGTGTTCACATTGTCGTTTTGTATTAACCATGTTTTCGCTTTCACTTTCAGCTCATGTACGTATATTCATATACAAGTGAGGCGCTATTCATTCTACGCTATTCACTCTTGTTCTCGCGCTCAATCAGGATCGATATTCTATTCGTAACAGTGCTCCCCTCGCTTTTATCCAGGTTCCGGTTGCGTAACTCTGGTAATGCAGAGGCCGCTGCAGCCGGATGTGCTAGGGTGTGTAATGTACTGAGCGACCGAGCGGAAGCGTCTCTGCTCTATTAGATACACGATGATAGTCGCCTCTGCGCGGTTCGTTTGCAACATCTGTGATCATGAGTTGGGTACACAGGAGAGACGTACAAAAGACTTGAAGCGTTAGGGAACCTTTTGTTGGATGTTCTTGTCACAGAATATCCTGTTGTCGACCGTGACCTTGTTAAGCGAATGGATTTGCCTTGGGGTTAAAGGACACTATGCCAAGCAGGTCCTATCCTCGTGTGAGCCCTTTAGTGGGCATCGGCGGCTGTGATTAGCATTGAGTGATTCGGAAACAATGACGGAGAAAACGGAACGTTTGTTCCGGTTGGTGGTTTGCCACTGTTTATGAGACCATCCTTGCAACAAA